TTTTTTTTTTTATAAATGACAGAAATTAACAGGTAAAAGAAAGCCACATGCCAGGACCTAAATGGAGGTGTGATTTGGAGCCACCTTCTGACAGCTGCCACAGGCAGGTCCCTGCATTCAAGCACAGGATCAAACTTCCTTTATCTTAGTAGTAGTTTCAAAGAACAGCCTTTGGAACGATGATGATAAACCGCAGTTCTGTGGAAATCAACAGCTTTAGACGCCACTCTGTTCTGCGGGTGCTGCCCTCCCTGGGCAGCCCCCAGGTTTGGCGAGGCCTCAGGCAGGCGCCGGCGGACCCGCCCGCCGCGGCCCGGCCCCTCACCCCGGCTACTGCCGGTCGAGGCGACGAGGCGCCAGGACGAGCACACCCTGGTTAAGCCTCCCAAGGGCCGAGAGCGCTCACCGCAACCCAGCGGCCCTCGGCTCCCACCTGAGCAGCGACGGCTCGGAGCTACCGCTCCTTTTCTGCCGATCTGAGGTACTTGCACCTCCCAGAGGCAGGAGGCCGGACCGCGCTGCCCTCTGTCAGCGGGGCGGCATTCTCAGCTTGAACGCTCTTCACTCTGCTCTTCCAGCCAGTGAATTCCCAGGGCTTATGCCTGCGTGGTTTTGCCCCCTCTACAGATAGCTGCATGCTGCTGCCCGGCACACAGCTGGTTCGCCGGCCTCTCCGCTGCCTCCGTGCTTGGGGCCACCTGCCCTCACGCTCCCTCATGAACCTCGGGGAGCTCGTTTCTGCCCTCAATGACTTTGCATCCCTCTCCCTGGCTGAAAGCTGGGACAATGTGGGGCTGCTGGTGGAACCAAGCCCTCCCCACACTGTGAAGACCCTTTTCCTCACTAACGATCTCACCGAGGAGGTGATGGAAGAAGCAGTGCACAAGGCGGCAGACCTCATTCTTTCTTACCACCCTCCTGTATTCACACCACTCAAGCGAGTAACATGGAAGACCTGGAAGGAACGGCTGGTGGTCCGAGCCCTGGAGCACAGAATCGGAATTTACTCTCCGCATACGGCGTATGATGCCATACCTCATGGAGTCAATAACTGGCTAACAAAGGGACTTGGTGAGAGTCTGTTTAAAAAAAGTTAAAATGGTTCATCATTATATGCTATCTTACGGGGGGGTCCTTCCCTCATTTTCCTTTCTTCCAGCTTTTACAAACATGATCTGAGGACTTTTTTTTTTTCCTTTTTTCCCCCCAGTATAATGCTTCTAAGTACCCTAAATGTATTTTAGGGAATTTATCTTTGTGAGGAATACCAGGTACAAACACGAGAGGACATTTTCAGATGCATGACTGTGGTCAGAACCAGTGCAGCATTGGTTGCAAAGTTTAGACCACTGACTTTAAATCGCCACCCTTAATTTATAAAGTGCAAGATCTCACTGTTTGCAAAGGACTTAAGGTGTCTGAAATTCTTTTAGACTTTTATCCCGTATTGTGCCTAATAGAGACAACAGGGCAAGAAGTCATCGCTTCTGGTCAGGGAGAATGGATTCAAGTGCAATATTTGCATCTTTTTGTTGCACCTCTTTAGCATATGCGCTAAATCAGTATTAGAATACTTATCCAGCCTTATAAAACAGCAATCTTGTATTGTTTTCTCAGGTGCCTGTACTTCTGTCCCACTGCATCCATCAACTGCACCGAGCTATCCAGCAGAGGGCACTCACCGGGTAGAATTCTGTGCAGACAACCCTGAGCATCTGGACACAGTGATGTCCAAAATCAAAGACATCCCAGAGATCTCCTGTCTAACTACTCTCCTTGCCAGGTATCTGCTTCATTCTCTAATGTTCTATTCTTTCTGTTGTTTGAAACAGTAAGTTGCTGCATTTTATAGTTGTAATCACTTTGTTTCTCTGTGCACTGCTGCTATTATTTTCAGCAGCATATGTAGAAACTTAAGGAATAATCATCCCTTCCTGATCAATCTATGTTACACTAATAGGTAACAGCAGCTCAGTCTAGCATCACATATATTAGAGGTAGCAAAGAGTATTAAGAGGAAATTTGATGAGGACGGTTGAGAAATTCCTGTATCTGTTTCTTCTGAGAGAGTAGACTAGACTAGGATAGGCTATTATAATCCCTTATTTTTTCCTTTCTCTGTAGTAGAATAGCCACTGGGATATAAAAGCTTTGTTTTATATTAATATGATTCTTAAATTTTATCTAGTTTCTTAGCAAGCACCAAGCATATCTTTCCTCAGGGTTGAAGGTGAGGAGCAAACACGAGTGAGTTTGAACTGCTCTCAGACAGCACTGGTGGAGGTGGTGGCATTATTGTCTCAGAACAGCCTTCTTTATCACAAGACCGAGATTGTCTTACTACAGAAGGTAACCAAATAATGTATTACTTCCAGTTAATGTATTACTTTTTTGAGTGCCCTGAACACTGAAATCCAGTAGTCAGTAGCATCACAGGTTTCCTCTGCTACTCCATCAGTGCTCTGAAATCCTGGCCTGTGGAGATTTCAAGCCATGCACATTTTCCAAAACAATGAAAATAATTCTGTGGGCTGGACTAATTCTTAAATCAGTTCCAATAACTAGTGTAGTTAGTACATTACATTTAAGAACATCACATAGATATTTTTTTTTAATGTTCAGAGGCATTCCTGAATGCCCAATATACTCATCATTGTACAGTATGGAAAGCAGTGCAATGCAAATTTATGGAGTCAGCTTTCTCACAACAATTTTAATTTATTTTCAGCCTCTTCTTCCCCATACCGGAATGGGACGTCTGTGCACACTGAGCGAACCGGTCTCTTTGTCAGACATAATTGAGCGTATCAAAAGCCACCTAAAATTACCCCACATCCGCTTAGCTGTGGGAATGGGCAAGACACTAGGTAAACAGCCCTGCAAGTAAGACTGTCCATGAGAACTAGTATTCCAAGAAGATGACGAGCGTGAGTGCGTGCATGAGTGTGTGAAATACTGCTGCCCTGGACAGGTTTACTTCTAAGTAGTATGAAGCACTGTTAAGGACAAGAAACAGGATTTTAGAATTTACAGGATACAATCATGCAAAAAGCATCTCATCTGTATTTCTGATTGGAACTTCTATATTAAGCTGTCACTGTGAAGAAGGGACAGCACAAGTTGAATTCGAGACATCCCTTTTCATAATTTGTATAAGGACTAAGACTTTTTTCCCTAGGATTTCAGACACAAATGTGTACCACTTCATTGTACACTCCATTTTGTGATTAAATGTTAAATTTCAAAGCATTTGAACATGTAACCATCCAGGTTTTAACAAAAGAGAAATAGTGGCAAAGAAGGTGAACTATCCTAGCTGAAACAGTGGGTCACCAGTAAATGTGGAGCAAGCATCCTCTTATCCCAGTTACCTACCATAATCTCCAAGGAGCATAGTGATTAGAATTTGTGAGAGTAAATTTGTTGAGAACTCTCTAACTAAAGAGACAGAAGTCACTAGAAGCCTCTTATACTATCAATTGCACTAAAAACCCCCAAACTATTTTGAAGCCTCACGGTGTAGGATTGCAGTGGTGCAACTCCACTTACATCAGCAGTAATTACATGGCAACATACTGTAAAACCTTAATAGAATTTGAAAACTGTCATGTGTCCCCTCTCTTTAGTGAATATAATATGTATGGAGAATTACATTTCCTGTCACTGTCACATATGTAATAGCTTGGAATCGGCAATCACAGCAAACAGGCAAATTTTTAATGGCATGGAGCAGCTCTCAGCTTGCATCATGTTGGTCTTCGGAGAGTTCAAAGTTAGGAACTAGTATATCTCAAGAGGCAAAATGCTGCCTTAGCAGCATGATTACTTGGAAAACTAATGATGGTGGAACATGAGAGTCCTGGAAAGAGTAACAGCCTATTAAAGGGTTCAGAAAACAAGAACACCTCACTAGGAGAAAGCTAGCCAGGAGCCAGCCTCTGTGCAGTAGTTTTCTGCAAACTTTCCTACCCCTTGAAGAAGAAAATCTATGTATCTTTAGTACACAGAGAATTCTGCTGTACGATTAGAGATGTTATAGGCCCATGACTTTCAGGCTGACAGATGTGTGTCTTCCTCCAACAAATTTACATTGGCCCTAAAATGGAGGTGGTAGTTACTGTGAAATTATAGCAATAGTGACATGAGGGCTGAACAGAGGGAAAGGACTTTAACTGTGGCCCCTTGTGTCCTGCAGAATCCCCAGTGAAGAAAGCTGCTCTCTGTGCTGGGTCTGGGAGCAGCATCCTGAAGGGAGTGGAAGCTGACCTCTATCTCACAGGTAAAAGATTGTGTTGCTGTTTCATGATCTTTATAAAAATAGTCACTAGAAAAGAAAAAGGAAAAAAAGAGGAGAGTTGACTGGCTGTTAAAAGATTTGGCCAGAAGGAATTACCTGTTATAACTGAGGAACAGTTATTTATTGGAATGACAGAATAACAACATTAGAGATCACGTGGATCAGAGGGATGTGTGGCAGAGCCACACAGGTTATTGGAATTAAAACACTGCTATATGTGCATTATTATTTCAACACAGAATCAGTGTTGATGGCAGTCTGTTGCAACCTGCTGTGTGTTTCTCCTTTGGCAAGACACACGGTACTTCCTCAGTTTCCTACAGAATTCCCTAATGGAAAATGGAATATAACGTAGTCTACCAAAGGGACACTTAGCGCATTATCGTCTTTCCCGACAGCACGACAGCTACTCCCTACAGGTTGTTCAATAGGCGCAGCCGGCCTTGCATCCTCTAGGACTTCATTCGGGCAAGTTCTTTGGTGAGGCATGTCCTGTCTCCCCCCCTTCCAGGCAGCCCTGCAGAGCTGACCCTCAGACAACCCCTGCCAAGGCTTCCCAGTGGCCATCCCCCATTACAGCAGCCCACATGACAGCCAGACAGCCCACTTCCAAACCACTCTATGCGCTCTTAGTTACTGCCTGATATGGCAGAATCTACCACGACTCAGAGAGGGCAAGGAATTTCTGTGGTTTTATCTCACTTGATAACTGGGGATATCAGCTCAAAGTCCTTCAAGAGGCACTAGAGTGTTCCATGTTCTTACACTGAGCACTGTTGCGTTCCCCCTGAGGGGCTCTATCCCCTGTTAAGTCTTCCCAGCCTCTAGTTAAGATTCTGTACGCATTGCAAAGAACTGGTTACCTAAACTGTACTGTTGGTGATCTACATGGTATTTTTTCCTTAAAATGGCAGGAGAGATGTCCCACCATGATGTTCTGGATGCAGTTGCCAATGGGATAAGTGTTATTCTGTGTGAGCACAGTAACACTGAGCGAGGCTTCTTGCCAGAGCTGCGTGACATGCTAGCTATCCATCTACAGAACAAAATCAACATAATTGTGTCTGAGAAAGATAGAGATCCCCTCCAGGTGGCATAGGAAAAAAAACAAAACGCAGGAGTGAGAGAATTCAGTCAAGAGTTTCATGGTATCCTGCACAGACCTATCCAACTGCAAGCTTAATGACAATGCTCTGAATTGGTTCGGTACAGAATGATTGTATTCTGTGTTCCCTCAAAATCTGGGATATATTTTGTCATCTGCAAGATAAAATAAATGCTTGGTTTGGGCTACAGAAGACTGATGTGCTCAATTACTGGGCTGCACTTGAATATATTTACTGTTACTGCATACATTTATTAGATACATTTGGTACCTGTGATACTCAAGGACTGGTTTGGGCAAGATAAAAACTTGACTTATCTCCAGTTTTAAGCTTACACAAGCTATTCTACCCTACTGCAGTTATGTCAGATTGTGTCAGTGCAAGTCATGATATTTTAGCCAATAAATTTCTTCAGAGTAGTTAATGAAAGGGTATGGATCACCCATTTGAATTAACAGATTTATTAAGACACCAATCATATGCAAATATAGAACACAGTGCAGGTATTTGGTACTAGCATTCAATTGCACAATCTACCATCAATGCAGCTTTAATGCTTTTTAATAGAAGGACTCTCAATTAAAAAAGCTTTGGAAGGTTAAAACTCAATTCCTTAACAAAGCTGTAAATGAATTTAATGTGCCTTCATTACTTTCTTTTAAAAGCAGTTTCTATAACTATTGTTCTTAATTACAGGATCACTAAAAGTGAACAAGTAGCATTTTTACCACTGATAATGCTTGGGTTTTATTTTTCAAGTTATTCTCTGTTGTGGTTTTTTTGAAAGAAAAATATCTCCCAGTTGCGTACCTTACCATCTCTGGATTATGTGCGCACCAGAAGAATATTTAAACAAAATGAAAATATTGCCATTGCAAATTTGTAAAGATCTTGGCACCATCCTTTTAAGTTAACATAAAGCACTGTCTTTACCACAAAACTGCATCTGTTTTGTTCCACTTAACTGTAAGTGGAAGGAGATGATTGCAGTATTATCTGAAGCTGTTGAGGCTATATAAAGGCCATTGTTCTTATCAGTACCACAAAGACCTCTCAGTAAGCTGAGGAACAGGAAATTGGAAGAATTTCTTCTTTCCCAAGGAAAGGATTTTAGGAGTGATTCCTTCAAATCCAGCAGGTCCGTATGATGAAAAGACGACATGAAAATACTACTACCTTAGGAGTGATTCCTTCAAATCCAGCAGGTCCGTATGATGAAAAGAAGACATGAAAATACTACTACCTTAGTACATACACAGAATTCAAGACAGAAGAGAATTAATGCATAGATGGGGTAATTGTCCAGAAATAGCATTAAATCAGGGTAAAATACTTTTAACACAAAAAAATTAATTCACAGTAATTTTCTTTAGCTTGCATGCTTGTATCACAGAATCAGCAGCAGCCAAAAACTGATTCAAACTTAACCTTCTCTTAGCAGATGGTGTGTTGTCTCCTGCAGCCATCCTCTTGGCCTGGATGGGCATCTGGTAGCCTACCAAAATTCTTAGCGGGTAACTCTGAACTCAGGATGATTATAGCACTTTATTAAAACAAATTTCACATCTAGAAAACTAGATGTAATTGCACTGAAAATGCACCATGGTATCACTATCTGTGAACGTTAGGTAGTGTCTTCCACATGGACTCAGAAGATAAATTAAATCTTGAGTTTCATAGGAAGTGTGGAGAGAGTCAAAGGGCTGCAAAACAGGATGTGGTTGCTGGTTAGCTACAATAATTGTTCCAAAAATGCATCACTTCGAGTGGCAGAGTTCTTTTTGTTGAACTCTACACCTAACTTATAGAACTTGGGTAAGACACAATGCCTTGGTCCTAGTTTTAGTGATTCTGATGGTAGCCCAAGTAGTCTTGGGCAGGGTCTGAGGCATTTTGCAAAGTTTTGGAATTGCAGCCTGTAAAATGCAGATGCAGGTGCTACCAAAAGTGAATGTCAGTTGGAAAATGTTCTTGGGGTGGGGAAGCTGGAGAGTACTGCTGGCATGTAACTGTTTTCCCCATCAGACTCTACAGCAAAAATTAAGTCCTATATTTGAAGAATCAAATTGTCAGTGGGTTAAGTAGATAACCCCACTTTTTCAATACAAACAAAAGTCAGACTGTAAACCTCTGTTGCTTCTGTCAGTGAGGAGTAGAGCAGGTAACTATTATTCCATGTGATGTTTTGGTTCCCTTCAAAAGCTATATACTGATATTAAAAGGCAGGCAAACTATTTTTAATTTTGATACCTTGCATGAGGATTTGCACAGATATTTGATGTAATAATGAAAATTAGGCTTTCACACAACTGCCAAGAAGGATCTCTATCTTCCTGTAACAAGATTGTGGAAGACAAGACAAGCTAATGAAAATTAATGAAGTATTTTATTTGATTGAACTATTACAACATTGAGCTGTAACACAGCTACCAAATATTACACATACAGAGTCCCTGAAGTCTGGCTGGCAGACTACAGCTGATGGAACTATAGGGCTTACTCCCACATACCTGAGAAAAAAAAGTGAAGAAAAGCTGTCAAACTTCAGCAGTCTCCCAGTCTCTAAGGGCTTAAAAAAAGGGAGAGCTTGTAAGTGGCATTTAAGGCCTCCTCCGGGATCAGTGGACACTCCTGATGTAAAAAATACATACATACAATCAAGCTTTTAAAAAATAAACAGAAAAACTTCACAGCCTCTTCATATTCCTGGATTGCAACTTGGAATGTAGATGAAAAGAAGCTGGATCCTCTCACCCTCACCAACAGGCAATGACTTCAGTCCATCACAATTTTGATTATCTAAATCTTATAAAAGGATCTGGGTTTGGGGCAAGTCCTTCAGTTCTATTGCCAGAATTTAATAAGTTCCCCACGGTGTCCCACAGCCACTAGTTCCTCCTCTCCTCAAGCAGTCAAGGCAGGTCTCTTAGCATTCTAAATCTTGGCTTCTTCATACACTGGAAGCTTGTCTAACTGGTAACAGAGTACTTGCAAGCACTCAGTTGAGAAAAGCTGCACTAGTACAAACTAAAGCTCTGACCATTTAGTGATTTGCACTTCCCAAGTAAACTGCTCCAATCAAACCCTCACGTCTGGTGAGGTAGAGAGCAGAAGGCACAATCTTACCAAGTTTTTCTGGCTTTACTTAAGGTTGGCTGCATAGATACGAAGGCAACATCATCTGAGTTAAAAGACAAAGCAGACAAATCCAACTACAGAGCAAGAGATGCCTTGCTTACAGAAGTCATCATTCCAAACTACCTGAAGTAGTTGAACAACGAGCATTGTTCATTACAATTATTACATTTCACTGAGTAGTCCAGCAGCCTTGGAGTTGGAGGGAGAGAGATCCCTCTAGCAGCCCCTCTCCAGCAGCCCTTGAGAGCAATTGCCATAGATGCTTTGAGAATAGAGAGACGTTAGATATCTTCATCCTCTTTCTCTAAGAAGTCGGCCAAGGTACTGTCATCTACAGGAATTAATAAGTATTCCACACCATCAGCTCCCTGAGAACAGACATGCATACACATCCTGTTAACACCAGTGCACAGTGCAATGCAAGCCACTAGACAGCACTGCAATGCTAAAGTTGATTTGCAGTCTGGGTGAGAGCTGGCCAGCGTTCAGAACTATGTTGCTAAAACCCAGGAATGTTTCACTAGAGGAACACTGGAAATGCACAAATACTGAGATAAGTCAGTATATGGAAAATCTTCTGGTGGGTTACGCTAGTTGGACACTACACAGCTCCTCAATTCTGTGTTCTCACATCTAGCACTGCTCATTATGAGGACTAGCCTGCATTCTTCCCTTGTGCAAATACAGGGAACTACTGGAAGGAGACTGGCAGGCTGCAGTTACTTCTCATGGTCTTCAGGAAGGAGACCTGTAGATTGCTGAGTAACAAAAGCACACTGCATTTTTACAGGCCCCTGTTCATGTAAAGGGTGTTGACAAACTGGAGGCATGGAAAGAGCTGCAATTACAGAAGTTCAGCCCTTTGCTAGTTCCTAAGTGCTTCAAACAATACAGACTCACTGTGAGCTCTAGAGTGGTGTCTTAGGGAGCAAGAAAGCATGTTTTTTGTTTAAGGTGGCTGAATACCCAGAATTATCTTCTTCCCCCAACTCACCCGCTTGGTCCGGATGAGCTTGTGGTCCCTGAATTCTGTCAGCTGTGCCCTGAGCGTCAGGTCACTGTTCACAAGGAAAGCCTCCCGACACTGCTGGTAGAAGTCTTGGAAAGACAGGCCTGCAGACAGAAAAAGGCAAAACCAAGAAAGTGAAGTGGTAAGACTGTCATTTTTCCAGGTCTAACACCACATACTCTCTCCAACTTCAAACTGAGCTTTGTCTCAGACCACAGTTCTACAGTAATATCACTGCTTCTTTCAAGTATACAGCCGAGCTAATATTTCAGTAATTAATGTAAATCAGCTGAATTAACATTCCAGTCACCCTGTTTGCTTAATGGAATTTTAATAGCACTTTAAATGCACTTCCCAACATGGTTAATCTCTCTTAATTTCCAACTCCATTATCTTCCAACTTTCTTTACCATTAACACGTTACTCATATCCCCTGCAGCACCTGTTAAGACAGTGACAGAACATTCCACATGTATCTTAGAAAGCAGGGACACATCAGAAGTCACTTAGAAAGGAGCAGCATGGGAACACAATCTCCTGTCTTTCCCTGGTCCTTTTAAGTGTTGGTTATGCAAGTTCATATTCTTCCTTTATATTAATTTTTTTAACTCCACAGTCCCCTATGGATGGTCTCAGACACATCTAAACATCAAAGCAGACAACAGTAAGAGGAGGTGTGCTGGGATACAGTTAATTTTCTTCACAGTAGCTAGTATGGGGCTGTGTTTTTGATTTGTGCTGAAAACAGTGTTGATAACACAGGGATGTATTAGTTACTGCTGAGCAGTGCTTACAGAGAGTCAAGGCCTCTTCTCCCTCTCACCCCACCCCACCAGCGAGCAGGCTGGGGGTGCACAAGGAGTTGTGAGGGGACACAGCTGGGACAGCTGACCACAACTGACCCAAGGGCTAGCCCAGATCGTATGGCATCATGCTCAGCATATACAGCTGGGGGAAGGAGGAACACAGGGATGTTCAGAGTGATGGTGTTTGTCTTCCCAAGTAACCATTATGTGTGATGGAGCCCTGGCATTCCTGGAGATGGCTGAACACCCACCTGCTGCTGGGAAGTGGTGGATGAATTCCTTGTTTTGCTTTGCTTGCATGTGCAGCTTTTGCTTTACCTCTTAAACTGTCTTTATCTCAACCCATGAGTTTTCTCTCTTTTACCTTCCAATTATCTCTGAGCAAGCAGCTGGGTGGTACTTAGTTGCCAGCTGGGGTTAAATCATGACAGGAGGTCCTTCAAACCAGCCAGTCTATTGACCAGAAAGACAGGCTGTGCCACTGAATCTCACTGAGCCAACCATTACAGCACTGCTGTTGCCAGTGATGTAACCTGCATAACGAAATCCAGTTGCTGCTGTGACTGAGCTGGCAACGGCAACACTCCAAACAGATGAGAAAAGGTGGGTACGTACCTGCGTAAGATGGGTTGTCCTTGTTCTTCAGCTGGTACTGAGCAAGCAGTCTGAATATTCCCCTAAAAAGGGAAGCGGAAAATCAAAAGGAAAAAAAAACCAACACAAAACACCCCACCGTTTGAAAATATAAACTGATTTTCCCCTCATGACCAGGACTTTGTGCATGAATCTTATCACTGGACACAGCTTGCTATCCAAACACTGTTCATTTAAAGTAACCAACCAGTTGGAACCAAGGACCTAACATCTTCGTCTTGAACACTCTTGTTCAGAAAACAGGGCCTGCCTCCTGCTAGGTGTAGGCCAGAGTAAGGACTGGATCCTCAGCAAGTGCTGCTATCAAGTATAACAGCGTCCTACCTGGCATTGAGAGTGAGACTGCGCAGGACATGCGTTAGGGAGCTCAAAGCCAAAGATCCAGATTGTTGTACTAAAAGTGAGTTCTCATAAGATGTTTCTTCCACATAAGGACTAAATGTGGTTGTTTCATACCAAAGCCAGTTGTAGAGGCTTAGCTTTGCCTGATCCCACACTAGACAGAGAGAAAAGAAAGAGCTTTTCTAAGGTGTTAAACAAGCAATATTAAAATGTACTTGGTTCTACTGTAGGATTTGAGAAAACAATGTAGCCTTGTGAAATTCACAATACATACACCCAGATACATGCAGTTCAAACAAGACAAATTCTCTGCAACAAAACATTTGCACGCATCCCTTTTTCATACCAGTTTCACAGATATACTGTAAATCCTTTCAGAGTCAGCAGTGTGCAAAGAACTTCTGGCTGATAAACAAAATTGTTTAGATGCAGTGACAGACATAACATCCAATCTCCATTTCAGTAAGTCTGTAAATCAGTGCCAGAAGCTTGGAGTCTATTTGTATATTATGATCAGTGACTGGTAGTTATCAGTATCTTTATACAGTTTTGGTTCAACACAGACACAGTCCCACTTGGGGCTTCTAGCTGCTAACACCATACATACAATACCAGATCTATTTTGCACATCAAGAGTAATATATAAGCTTATGAAACATGCTCAGCAGCCCCAAAGTAGAACACAGATTCTTCTCTCTTTGCGACATCAGGCCCAAGGGGACTCACAGAGAGGAGCATTGATGTGATCGATAGAAGCAATGAGGTAAATACTAGGCAGAGAGGATAACTGTGCAAGGATCTGCTGACTTCTTTCTCCTCTCAACATCTGGCTGTCCAGGTTATGAATGAGGACATAGAGCTCTAAAGATGAATCTGCAAGGTCAGAAAAAACAGCAGAGAACCAATCAAAGACACTGCACACAAAATGGTTTCCCATTCCCAGTGCAGCCTAAGACAAGTCTATTCCATTAAGGTCCATATTCATCACTCCAATACCAAAGCACTTTCCTTGCACAGCTTACTTTGATCTTTAACCCACACTTGGTGTTTCTGAGCACCTAAAAGGCTTTTTCTCAATTCACTTAATCAGTTCTCATCACAGTTACAGTTCTTTTGTTTGTTCAGCTGCTTGAGTTACATGACCAGGATCCTTAAGCTCCTCCTCACACAATGAAAATGCATTTTCTGTTTAGAGTTGGATCCAAAGCATACTAACTTCATCTGAAATCTCTCCCACGGAGTCCTCAAAGGAAGTTGCAAAGACTTAGCTCGGATAATGCAAATAGTAGATGT